CAATTTACTTTCTGGTGCTTTCACTTCCAGAGACAGTTGTAAGCACTGTGTAACTGCCTCGAGGGTGCTTGACCATTTTAACACAACGTGGTGCGATCATCCCCCTTGCGCGGAGTGAGGGTTCTCCACCCCGCACAACATGATCTACTCGACCACCATTATGGTTACCGCCAAAAAAAAAAAACGGTAACCTGGTTGCCGAGTTTACGAAGTGAATTGGCTTGTTTTACAACGTCGTTGCCAAGCGACGAAACCCAATCCCGATGGCAAACACCGGGGGGGGCGGCTTGTTATACAACGTCGTTGCCAAGCGACGAAAACCCAACCCCGATGGCAAACACCGGGGGGGGCCGGGGGGGGGGAAACTCTACAAGGGGGGGGAAACTCCGACGTTTACGGTAATTGGGCACTTGTCATTTGTTTCGCGCGAATGCTGCTTGTCGACACCCACCTCCTGGCCTGCGTCGCCATTTTCTCGATGGAAGCTTTCTGTGTCAACAATGCTCGCTTCTCCGCCGTTGTCAAAGCCGCAGTTCCGATCTCTGATTTCGAAGCGGCCGCTAGCTCATCCCTGGAAGCTTTAAGCCGATCCGCGTACTCCCTGGTGATGAAAATTACACACACGGCTAACTTAGCTCATGCAACAAGGTGCGTTGCTTGCTGCTCACTGCTCACTCGTCGGGAAAGTTGTGCAAGTGCACTTTTCTCAAGGGTAAAGATGGGCCGATAGCCAGCAGACAACGCGCACCTGAAGCGATCGATGGTTTGTTTGGTGTCTTGAAGCTCCTTCATGACGGATTCGAGAGCCAGCTTTTGGTTGTGCAGGCTCACCTCACGCCCAGTTAGTTCAACCTGCGGGCCGACGGCGACGGCGTTCGGCAAGTATACACAATCTGGTTGCAGGATAGAGTGCTGAACTTTCAGCATACATAACGTACAGTTAGAAAACCCAGCAGTAGCACGGCATGTCTCACATTGTTGTCTTGTGCGCTTAGACGTCGTGCTGAGTCTACCTATACAAGATACAAGATACACGATACAAGATACAAGTACAAGTGAAGTGCGCCCATGTAGGTATGTATACCTGTAACTCCCGGATATCCTCAGCTTGCTGCGTTTCGAGCTCCTCAGACATTTCCACAGACGATTCCAGATCGGCAATTGTTGCCTCCAATTCGCCGCATCTTTCGCCAATCTCTAGGTTCTTCGTGGTGAGCGCCTCCACCATCTCCTCATAAGCTTTACTTTCGTCGAGCTGAGGAAGCGACAGGGGCACGGCAATCGACAACCGGAATTGTTAGCCCACCTGCGACTACCCTTGAGCCGAACAAGTCGTGGACGCCAATCAGCATGCGCGCGAATGCATCCGTCATGTTCGGTAGCCTCCTCGACCATGACCGCACGGCTTCGAGAGCGTGAAAAGCAAAAACAGCTTTGTCTACCCCTGCCAAGCTGACCTTTTCCAGCAGGTCCTCCATCTCAGCCGCCTTGCTGTCTTTCCATGAGCGCAATTTCTCCACCTCGTCTTTCAGGCCAGCAGTCGACGTCGCCTCTTTTTCGAGCGATCGAATAGCCTTCGTTAGCTGAAGGAGTGACGGAGTGGAGACGTACTGAGTCATGTCATTCGCAAAACGGTGAAACGATTTTCATCCTATTATTTCAGTGGTCAGGGCGGCAGACGTTTACTGCAATGTAAGTATGCATACCTGTTCAAAGGGGAGCGACATATGTGCAACTTTCCACTGCGAACGAGTTCCATGCTAGTCTACCCTTGTGTGAGCACTTACTTCGGTCTTCTCAGCGATGCTATGGGTGTGCAGCCGCTTCAGTGCCTCTTTGAGTTGGACGTTTTGTTCTGCCAGCATTTTGACATCCACGCTGCCATCGCCGGCACCTCCAGCAGCGCTGCGTAAAATTACAGAGCCGGGTATTGCACGTGAACAAATGCATTCACGCAACTAAGCACTCCACCGATCAGACGGACCATTGCACAAACTAAGACCATCATTTCGCAAGCAGCCCAGAGACAAACGGCAGCCTGACACTTGGTGAGTGAGGTCAGGGAACACATGCACACCTTAGTGCTCGAGCGGCAGCTTCATTCTCTCTCGCGTTCAGCTGTGCGTGCTCAAGGTCGAGTTTCGTCGAGTCGAGCTCCATCTGCAGCTCGTCCAGTTTCTCCTGCACTCGCAAGACATCCACAAACGAAATCATCGCGGTGTTGGCAATCATCGAGGACAATACCATGTCCAACCGCATGTTGCCTAACCACATGCAGACCGCACTCAATGACAAGGCAAGACGAAAAGTCAGGCACACGCTCTCGGACGCAACACAAGGGACTTAAACGTCGCCAATAACTCACCTGCAAGTCTTCCTTTTCGAGAGAGAGTTGTTCCTTGTCCAGGGTGAGAGCTTCACAGGTATCGTTCAACTCCGACACCTGCGATCCGTCGGCCGGTACATGGGAAGTGCCGAGTCAAGGCCAACTCTGTTCCATGGAACAGCGCAATAGACCCAACATGACTGTTCTTGACTGAATAATACCTGGTATCCCGTATGTAAGCCCCGCGCGCGAACAAATCGGTCAACTGGCGTGCCAACGCACAGACTACCCGGCACCAATGCTGCACCCAGCACCGAGGTACCTGATAGGCAGGAATATTTTCGGCTACCTCAGCTGCGTTTTAGCACGGTTGATCACGCACGGCATCCAGGCTCTGAAGGTACGCAAAACATCGTGCCGATGGCCATACCTGGACTTCCATGTCGGCCTCCCGTCTCCCTGCTGCCGCAGCGGCCGCCTTCTCTTTGGCTAGTGTCGATGCCTTCGGCAGGAAATCATTCGCGACAAGTGCAGCAAACAGTCAAGGTATAAAGGGGTGAAAAAAAAGCTTTAAGAAGTATGCGTATTCTGCGCAGTATGATCCGAAAACATACATCAGAAGAACAGCGTGGATGGCGAGTTCCGACACAAGGTTCACCTTTAGTCGTTCTTCCCCCAAAGCATTTTCCGACTTCCTTTGAAACAACGACAGCTTTCCTTCCAGCTCCCGGCAGGACGCCTCGCTTGCCTCTAGCTTCTCCGTAGCTTCAGCAAGACGTGCTTGCGCTTCTTCCGCTTCGCTGTAGAGGAAAAGAGGCACAAGCGCCAGTTGTATGGTCACATCCTCCGCTCTCCGCTCAGTGGATCAAGGAAGACGAAAAGGGTGCAATGCTGCATTCTTTCCGAATGACTACTGTGGTCACCTGGTTGCTTGTGTGGCCTTTAATCGAAGCTCGTCCATCTCCACGTCAGCACTTGCTTGGTCTATCGCCCGCGAAGGAGGAGGAGGCAGAGGGGAAGAGGCTATAGATTCACTGGTTCCCTGCTTCTCCTCGAGTTCAGGGGTCGCGCGCTCAACATCGGCCTGTCTCCGAAAACTTTTGATTCCGGTGGCTCTGGTCGCGCGTGAACTCCCGAGCGAAGGCGTAGTTGGGCTTGGTGCCTGCACGTCATGTCCGCTACTCGAAATAGTCTGCGCCCCCCTCCTGTGGGGACGACAAGCACATGGTTGAAGTGTGGACAGCGACGTTTTGTGGGCAGCGCTAGCGTAGCAAAACCTACGAGACAGGAAAAACTACTCAAGAAGCTACTCCAAAGGCCTCATAAGTCCTAACGCGGGACCCATTGAATAAGTAGAATCCTTGTGTTGATCATGCATGTGTTTCTTGTACCTGGCTTCACTCCCAATGCTCCCAATTGAAACGACAGACGCAGAGCTCCCAGGAACGTCCAACCCGTCTTTCACCGAAAACCCCCCTGGAGAACGCGAACCCCTGGGGCTGCTAAGTGTAGGCCGTTGTGCCTGCGGAGACGTCTTCCCAGCAGCTAGAGTTTCTTTCAAGGCCTGAACATCAAAGCAGCGGGTGTTCGTATTGCTTACCGCGCGTATCGTCGTACTTAATGGGGGTCGTCAAAATATAAAAGCAATCCTGAACAGGCGTAAGAATGCTCCCAACAATGTTTCTCCAGAGCACTGCAAGACCTCTACTGCTGTAGTTGTCTGCTTTCTCTGCAGTCTGGCTAGCACCAGCATTGACATTCGGACCTGACCTTGGTTTATCATGAGATGCAACCACGTAATTTTCCGAACTACGGCTGCAGTACCCCCCGAATACTCTCAAGTCTCCTATCGGCATACTGCTATTCTACCAGAAATGATTCAGTGTTCGCGCTCGGCGGAGACGTATGTGTGCTATCGCTTGCTCTACTTTTTTTATCTTTCTGCTTTACCATCCACTAGGTGGTATTTCAGCTGCACAGCAACATTCGCGAAACTCGCCTTGTTTCTTTCACGGATCGCTTGGAGGCGGGATGCAGCTCTTCCTGACCCCGTAGGCATCGTCGGAGAAGATGGGGTCATTGCGCCTGGCTTTGAGCTAGCGGCTGTGGCGGCTGTGGCGGCTGTGGCGGATCTGTCAAGTCTCACCTGCGATAAATTCCAGTCGGAGAAAATCAAAGTAAGGCGAATACTGCTATACACCAATGCACGGAGCAGAGCTTGGAATGCTGCACGAGGCGATGAGTCACCAATGCAACGTGTACGTGTGTACATACAAAACGTTTCGTACGCTCTTACCTCACCACTGCTGCTACCAAATGCTACTGATGTTGTGCAATTTGGTAGATGTGAAATACAGAGTGTTGCCTTGTGTGCCTGGTGTTGCCTGCTGCAGCAGAGAGAGTTTTTAACTGGTGTGACAGAGTTGCGGAATACCTGCGCCTTCTTAACGAATAGTCCGTGTCCCTCGCGGCAGTCAAAGTATTGAACGCCGTTGACGAGGCCATCGTTCTTGCCCTCTTGGAGATCGAGCTCAACTCCTATCCACTCTCCGGCCGCGAAATCGGTTGGCCCGATAAATTTGACCTGCCAGACGGAAGACAGGAGTACTGAAAGGGCAATCCAGAGCATTCACGCAAACCAGTGGAGAGACGACCTACTGTATGTAAAGGGCAATAGACTATAGAGGTGCGCCAAGCGTTGGCCCACAGCATACATGAGAACATATGCCTATGCAACTCTAGACTCCGGAGTCAGTATATGAATGCACGTTGGCCCTCTTACCACGCCTTTTTTCCCGGTGACAGTCACTCGCGAACCGAGAACAACCCGGGACGCGAATGTGGCCATAGGAGAGACTGGGCGGCAGAACGGACGTGGCCGAGAGGTCGTGCGTTGTGCGAAGGTTGCTGTCGTTGTTGCTGTGTGAGGCGTGAGGGTGCGGGCAAGTGGTTCTAAAAACAACATCCAAACCTGCACGCCATTTGCAAATCCCAGGTTCCGGATCGCCTGAGTCCTGCTCCCTGCTCCGCTCCGCTACTCCGCCACTACACCTGTGTGTTAAACTCAGGAGTGCAGCACACACGCTTATCTTTCCCCACCCCTGTACCGTGCGGTCTGGAATTTTTACCAGCTGGCCTGCTGGTTCGTCTTCGAGTATGGATCAGCAGGCGAAGGTGCGAGTGCCTCTGAATGCTTCTGCTGTGTCTGTCACGCGGGTTCAAAAGTCTAAACGTTCCACTTTTCCACGCAATTTTTGTACTTTTGTACATGTCGTGGCTCTCGATTTCAGATGTCCGTTGATGCATAGTCTACATTAAACGTACCACCCCTTTTGATTATTTGTCTCGTATGATGGGTGGTCCTTGGTGTTGACCTCCGAAGTGGAGTACATAGACTGCTGTGCATAAATGGTAACATAAAATATGTACATGTGTCCGTCCCGTATCGTTGTTGTTGTTGTTGTTGTTGTTGTTTTCTTCACATTAAACTCGTGTCAGTTGCTAATCCCAAAATCTAGCGAAGACTCGGTCGGTGGTCACAAAAGTGTATGCATAGAGTATAACGTGGTTCATGACACCTCCAATGAGACAGGAAGCAGATGGACACCCCCCAAAAGACAGGAAGCAGCTCGTCGAAAGTGACGAAACGACAGGAGGCAGTAAGTGCAGCAATGTTTCTATTCCCCGGATAACAAGACACAGACACAAACGAGTCGAGGAGGGAACAATGGCGTGGAAGAGAGCAAGGGCTTCGAGCCAGATTACCTTCCCCACCACAAACGACGCAGGGCTAGAGAGGAAATGTCGAGAAGTTGCTATGAAAATGACCATGAGAATGATGGAGTTGGAAGGAAGGAGGATGACGGTGAAAGCACTCCAAAACGAACTCGAGTGCAAGGTAGCAGCCTTCGTAGACGTGTGCACTTTTATTCTGTTGCTACCGTTTCTGTCTTTGATCTGGAGAATAGGATAATCTCCCCCATGCTGCTCCCTCACGGGGTCCCAGTTAATGGCATTTAGAAGTGTTCTTGGTTGTCACCCGCACCGAGACTGACGCCCTTTCATTGGTCAGCCGGTTAGCGCGGTCGATGCTAGTAATATAAACACACGACACGCCACAGACACACGACATGCGAGCTCGACAGCATTGCGTCAGCAGAATCAAAAGAGAAGAGTATCAGCAGGAGAGGAACTCCGAAGGCTGGGTACGAGTGGGATGTGGGAGAGCGGTCGAGGAGTGAGGAGCGTGCGCAACCGAACGTGGGCGGGCGTCGAGAAGCAGCGTCACCCATGATTTGGTCATATCTTGCGATTACATAGGCGACGACCACTACTCAAGATCGAATATACTCCGCTCCTCCATATACACACAGTCATCAAGAGGTTAATCCTGTTTGTGCGTACACATTGATTCCACTGAGCTATATTTGGCGGATGACTGCAGCATAAAAAAGTTTGCTGATACGAGATACGAAAAGATTGTTACCGAGCGAGACAGAGGTATACTATGTACAAGACTTAATGCACTGACAGGTGACAATTGTATGTCAAGACATGAGCGAGAGTAAACTCACGAGAGAGAGAGAGAGAGAGAGACAGACAGACAGACAGACAGACAGACAGACAGACAGAGAAACAAAGAGAGGGACACGGAACGCGGGTGGGGTGATCTCTGCTCGAGGAAACGCGTGGTGGATGACTGCAGCAAGGATGGTGGTTGATTGAAGAGCATGGATTGCGCGCGAGATGACTACTGATCGATGCGTGCAAACAAACAAAGAGGGAATGTGCGAAGTGCAGAACGCAGCGCCAACGGGAGTACTGACTGAGTGGAGTACTGACTGGCAATGCAGAGTCCGAAAGCCGAAAGTTCTGGGAGCAGAGGGGCCGAAGACAGCGGCAACGGCAACAGAGCGGTCGGTCTGAGGGAGAGAACAGGCGGACCTCAAAATGCTGGCCTGTGGTGCGCCGAGGGAGGAAACTCGCCAGTCTAAATCCAAGTGAAAGAAAAATGGTGGCCTGTGCTGCGCCGAGGGAGGAATCAATTTCCTGCAATAATTCCTGCGGTATGGCTTTGATTATCGTATTTCTCATACTCCATGGATGCATATATACACGTTTTGTATTCCACGCTCATGCCACAAGCAGTATGTACGTGAGTTGAAAGATTACGATTATCGTAGATACACGGGCTACCTAAGGCAGGTGTGCGAAGTGTTGTCATTTGATGCTCACAGGAAGAATGCGACGACTTTTCTTTTTTTCTACTTCGAGTACTGTTAGACCTCGAGATTAGAAGTTTTTCAGGGCGAAAAAATGTCCTTGGTCGCTAGCCGAATAGACTTTTAAAAATATTTTCCAACCAATCAAAACAGCAGGATGGGCGGACACGTCACAATATTTTGGACAAGGCAGGGTAGTCCTTGTCCTCGAGAGCCTTCAAGCGGCGCGCATCAACTCCCGCTTGGGAAAACGTGATACCAGTTCGCGCCATAACGTTTTCGCCCTGTTCCTTGAAGCTTTTTCTTCTCCTCCCCTTTGTCCATATCTTTTTGCGTCCAGCGGTGCCCATGAGAGGCTTTGCGGCGTTTGCAATCTCTCTACCGCAACAGCTAGGATCGGGATGCGGTTTGTTGCGGTGTGTGCGCAAAACCCAAAGGAAGCGATCACCCGGTTCAGTTTTTCGAACTCAACGGGAAAAAACGAGAAACCTGGCCAAAGGCCTTTAAAATCCAGTATAAAACGTATGTTCTCAGTCTTCCGGGGTGCGGACAAAAAATCCAAACCGGGTGATTCATAGTGTATGATCTGTAGACAGGTGTTGTAAAGGTTGAAGCTCTAACTCTCCACCTGGGGCCAGCACTTTTGATTGTTAAATCCCGGTCTCAATCCAAGATAATAATATTTCGGCCACCGAGTCAGGAAAAAAAAAATGTTTTTTGGGCTGGTTGTTAAGCCGATATTTGCTGGTCGTTAGCGGTCTAATCTCGAGGTCTAACTGTAGTACAATTTCAGCACATGTACACTGGACTTGAACGTTCCCTCTCTCACATCGTTTTCGAAAGGAGCACATAAGACTACCTAGGTAGCAAAAGGGCCAACTGCACACATGTGTACTACCTGTGTGATCTGTTTAACACCGAAAGAAATACCCGAACACCCAACCCTTCCCAGCATCTTCCTTCTACCCCCTCCCAAATACATAACTGTCCGATACGCATGATGGCCACCAAACCTTCGTGTTGAGCCTATTACCCGCAGGGGTATTCAGGGTTCATACATGGACATGAGAGTCTGAAGATGCACCGCTTTTTGTAATGTCGACGTCAAACTGGTGGATGCCTTCCATGCACTCATGCACACACCAGATCTGTGGCACCTTCTCACACGAATGAAATCCCCAAGTTACCCACCTGCACTGAGCACCTTGAAGAGGATTATGATAGAATACGTATGATGGGATGATGGCACTTGCGTAAATGTCTCTTTCCCACTCACCCAGCCTCCCTCCAGATGTGGACCTGTAGAAACAACAACATCAACATCTACCGTCTTCAATTCAAGCATGCCGAAGAGTCCAATCACCTGCTTAAAACAACCAAGCAACTGGGCTGCAGTAACGAATACACTCTGCCACATTTGGACCTTTTTGCACGAAATGTGCTCCACGGCTGGCCAACCAACCCCTCACCACACATTCGTTTATCCCCGATACGACTCACAGCGGCCAAGCACACGAAAACGACCGTAATAATGCCTTGTTGAGCCTTTGGCCCGCGGAGAACAAACTCGTACAGAGCATCTGTACAGAGCATCTGTAGCTTTATTTTTTTACCTCAGTGACTCCAGGAGGTCACCGTTATTCTTGCGCTCTTGAGTGTAGATCCTCGTCCAGATAAACGTATTATAGGCACATCATTGCTTTGGTAAGAACGTAAATTCGTGTTACTGGGACGAGGTTCGTTCGCACACAACGCTAGGTTCGTAGTAACAGTTCTGCACCACAGGGTACCATGGTCACTCAACGCTGGCAAGAGCCGCGCGGGAGGTTGGTGTTTGACTCGCACTACCGTTCCCCAACCTCCAATGACAAGCACGGAGTGCCCTTTCCTCTATGCATTATTGGTGACCCCCAGATTTCTCCTACGTGCGTTGCTTCTCTCCTGGTGTGATACACTGGTCCAGGGTAAGAAAGTCAGGAGTGGTGTCAGGGCTAGAAGAAGAGCGCGAAAACCTTGTGCCACCACCGACGACAGCGGCACAAATGATGGTGCGACCAGCCATCAGGTGCCCCAGGCGAGCTATTTCTTAGCGGATATGTGGTGTCATGAAGTACTGCTGAGCTTGAATGAGCTGATTTTGTTTGAAGGGATCCTCCCGTTTTTTGTTATTGGTGTTGTCAGGCGTTCTGAAGAGTTGTGCATGTGCCGGGGTAGCACTTGCCTGTGGGCGAGTGCCCCGCTACCTCTGTGAGGCGAGATGTTGGTGAACTGACAAGTTTGAATGTGCTGCGGCACCGTTTTGCTGCAGGTCACCAGGTGGGTCAGAGTATCGAGCACGACTGCCCCGGAGCGACGAAAGGGAGCTGAAATGCCGAGCTCGAAGGGTGCAAATGAACACCGAGATGGCGCCGTCGCTTCGCAGCGCAGCCTGGCCCAGCCCTCAACTCCAAGTCAGCACTTGTTGCCGGTGTCATTGTTCTCACCAGCTTTGTCTTCGGTAAGGGGGTAAATTTAATCACCGCTGTCCATGCGGACTCGCGTGTCTTCGAGGTCGTTCTGCACTAGCACCATTGCTTTATGGATATGTGGAGTAGAAAAACGATGTTTCCGCGTACGAGTGGCTAGGAGGACGGCGGCCGAACTGATATGTCTCGTTTTGATCAAGAGATGTGAAATGCAGCGACCGCGGTCGTTTGTTCGGCTGTGGTCGTTTTTTTCGATAGCTGCGCTTGCACCAAGGGCTCTCCCCGATACCTCCCTCCCGCAGGGAACCCCAGGACCGCAGTCGACGCCTTCTTCTATGCGCAGTGACGTTTCAGTCCAGCTGCATCCCTCAGCCCCAACGGGAGCAACGACAGAGTCGCAGGCAAGAGCAGGTAACCGCGCCTGTCAGATATGTGACTGGATGCCTCCGCGAGATGCTGGAAATGAGCGTTTCCAGACCGGCGAGGCAACCAGGGCGGCGGAGGGTTGCATGGCAGAAGTTGAACCGTTGGCTAAATCGACGGAGACGATCCCACTTTCGGGTAGCGATTCGGTGGAGGACGCCCAAGAAGGGTTGGCTGCGATTCGTCCACCCGCTCTTTGGTTGGATTTGCCAGAGCAATCAGATTCATGGGCAGACGTGATGCGGAACAACTGGCCACTTGACGGCGGAGACGAACTTCTGTCTGACGAAAACGAATCGGACGTAGCCGAACGGAGAAGGTGGCAACAATGGGCGAAACATGCGGCCGAGCACGAGAGACAGCGGCGGATGAAGGTCGGGTTGTGTGCACGCAACATGTCATTTGCGAGTATATGTTTTGTTCATGGATTCGTCAGAATGAGATGTTCTCCAAGCCTTGGTCTTTGACATACGACCCGCTTCAGGGACGCGGGTTTAAGATGCCGTGGACCTCGAATGTTATCTTGTGTCCAATGCGCAGATTCTGGAAGGCATGGATCGGGAGGAGCACAGAGAACGTTTGGCCAGGCGAGCATGGGCGTTGTCGGCCATGGACGAGGAGCAGCGACGGAGAGGAAGTCAAGAGGTAAAGTATGATGAGTTTTGCTGCCTGGTCAGATTTATGTGGTGAGTAGTTACTCTGCCAGGCCTTCAACGGGCGCCTTGTTTTGGTCGATTCTAGAGCGCGCTGCTCCGGGAAATGAGCGATCGTTCATCAGCTAAATAGCTCCGGAACGAGTTTATCGGTTGGCACAATCGGTGCCAACCCTGTTCTCCTGTAGTGATTAGGCAGCCCTGCGATTCGGTTGTTTGAGAATGTCTGTACCGTTTGGGTCGGCAGAAGATACGTGATCATGTTATGCATTTTATGGTGTTCACAACTTGAAAGCGCTCCAGGCTTGGCAAGCGGTATGGACAACCTTGGCAGAGTTGAGGAGATTCTTGAGTGGTCCAACCCTCACCACCTGTTTCGCATTTTGGTCTGCTCGCTCCAGTTTTTGCTCTCAATCCAGGGGACTAATTGGTTTCAAGGGACCATCTCTACCGTGGATCTAGACTACGAAATCTGCTGCCCCTACTCCTCGCTTGGATGCCGACACATTTGCCTCCGAACTGAGCTGGACAAGCACCTGGCAAAAGATTGCCAGTTCAACAAAGAACCCGAAAGCACCGATTCCATTGCATTGGTGAGTGGAAATAGGAATCATGAAGGCGGCAACGTCTGGAACGACGAATGAAATGAGCTACTGCTGTGCCGAGTTGAACTTGCACTCAAGGACGCTTGTGTATTGCTGTTGAAGCCACAAATGGGGCATAAATCAGCGTGTACTCTCTGTGCAGTGCCGGTGCCCCTACTTTAGAACGGTATGCTTCGTTTACCGCCGATCCCGCTCCTTCCAGGTGGATGCTGGCGAGTACGAGGTCGTTTGCCCCAACACGGTTCTCGGGTGTACCCACAGCTGCCCGAGGAGCTCCCTCGCCGAGCACCTAGAACACTGCTACTTCACAGGCCCTGACGTTACCGAAGAAAAGGCGGAGCGAGCGAAGACGAAGGAGATGGTGTTGGAGCAAGCTGAGGAAGAGAGGGAAAGAAGGGTTAATCAGGGTGAGTACATTGGCACGGGCGCTTGCAGTGCATACTTCTGGCGAAGTGCACCTTGCAGACATCTGCGGTATTTGCAGAGGTTGCAGAACTAATGAGCACCCGTACAATGTAGAATTGGTGCAAGGGGCACTGTATTGCTCGGTATGTTCTACCGACAACCTGCGCCTTTCACTCTGGAACTATCCTAGAGTACTGTACGTACTGCGCAGGTTCTTTTGTGGTCAGCCAGAGGTTATTTGGCGAGTCTTGATATGTCGGCTTCATTGCTGTATTTGGGTTATGCAACCATGGCCGCACGTTGACGTGCGAATGATGCAGGAGACTGGCAGAGCAATAGCTTACTCCACCGGCTGTTGGAGGATCAGAAAAGCCGTTCAATGGTTATTCTCCATGAGGAAATTCTGGACTTCGCGGCAAGGTGCGTTGTCCCATGGTGTGCGACAATTCTTGCCTGCGGTCAGGAGGATGACATGTGTATCTGCTGCATTAATTTGTCCGTCTACCGCCTGTTCCCCAAGCGCAGCAACCCATCCATCTGTTCACCAAGGGTGTGTGCACTATCTCTTGTCTTTGCAGGTGCCGAGATGTCCAAGAGAAACGGAAGAGAGTGCTGGAGAATCTGTGGCGTCGCATCGAAGACGTCATCTGTTTGTTGTGGCGGGATACTGTCGTTGTCCCGTACGGGAGTTACGCTTGTGGCATGATGACACCGGAGAGCGATGTGGACATTATGGTTAGTTCCTGTAGACAGCAGCGTTGCCCGTGTTTAACGTCGCCCTTGTGACATGTGTTCGCACCCGTACGCCATGTGCATGACGTTTTGATGTCGAGGTCAATTCTAGTTTTGTGCTCTGCCTTAAGTTATGCGCGTCGAAGTTCTTTCTTCCGCTCTTTGGAGTCGGGTATTTTCTACTCGGAGACAGGTTCCCTTTTGTCCTTTCTCTTGAGAACATTCTGTCGTGCGATACTTGTTTCCGAGCAACAAAATGCGTGTGCCCCGTCGTGTATTGATGGGCCGTCAGGTGTTCCCTGGAGATTGCAAGAACTCGAGTCCGCCATTTGAGGCGAAGGACGACCAGCCACGCCGGCGAGGGAGTCGCACGGACAGCGTTGGTGGCATGCTAACCAGAATTCACGAGCTCGCGGATCATTTGACACAGCACGTAAGAGGAAGGCTTGAACGCCAGGAGTTTTCGGCGGCCCGTTAGCTTTTTTCAGTTGAGCCATGATATCCTCGTATGGCTTCGCCTTCAATCAACTTGAATGCCCTCCGTAAACGAACTCTTGTTTTTCCAGGGAACGTTCAGTTCTATGAAGGTGGTACCTCACGCCATGGTACCCATCATCAAAGCGCGCACAGGTGCCTTGAGCGACGGGGACGACGGCTCTGGCGACACTGTAAGCTTCAACATTGACATCTCCATCGACGGTCAATCCCACACTGGATTGGCGACGAGTGCCTTTACGTCATACCTTGCCGACCACCTCCCGAACCTTTGTCCGTTGACAATGGTGCTCAAGCAACTCCTGCAGGTGAAAAGAGTAGTCCATGCCTTGTTTGCATAGCAGTCTATGTATATGTGCTGCCGAGGGACCATCTGTTTTCCAGTACGGCCATATAGCCAGTTTATGATGTTCTCATGACCATCCGTCCTTTACCCACCACTTGCGTTTTTTTTGCAGTCCCGTGGCCTAAATGACCCGTTTACGGGAGGTTTGTCGAGCTACGGTTTGGTGCTGATGGTTACATTTGCCCTTCTCCAGAGAGACCACTTTCCTCCCTCCCCGGGGTCCAACTTCCTCCAACGGTCTAGTTCGGGTTCTGCTCCCGCTGAAGATGGGGCTGACGGTGCACAACCAGAGGCTTCGCGTCCGAGGACCTTGCCTTCCCGATGCCAACCGGCGGACGTTAAAGATGTTCCAGTCCCGCCATCGCCAGGACATGCAAGCAGCTTTCCGCCGTCGCCCAAAGCAAAGCCGCGAGAAGCTCCAGTAAAGAAGATAAGGAAGACAGCAGCACCCTCTGTTGGTAGACAACGGTTCTGGCAGCCATCTTCCTTCGTGGAAAGCCGCTCGGGAAGAACTGCAAGTATTGCAAGCGGTGCACGAGCCGCTAATGCCTTGAACGAACAGGAGAAGACGCAAGCATCCGGAGGGGGGAAAGTATCTTTATGGGACAGGTATGGCTATGGCGCTCAAGTGTTGGGTATTTCAACGAGGATCATGGCGTGTTCAACTACTCTTCTCTTGCACGAGGACTCGGTCCACGTGATGTCTTTTTGTCGGCCTCAAGCTCCGTGTGTGTTATGCCTACATCACATCATGCTGTAGTCGAGAGGGAGCGAAGGGATGAATTGTACAATGCAAGCTGGTTCACAGCGAAAGCTACATTCGTCACACCAAATCTCAAGCTTCACTCTGTTTTTTTGCAAACCCTACTTGCTTGGATTCATGCATTACACCCGAGATGTGTCTTCCACATTTGCTACCAGTATCGAATGGCTACAAATACATGTTTTCTTTAGCCTTGCGAAGCCGTTGGGGCTTCAGGTGAGGCTGGGGTGACCCCTGGGTTGTTTTCATCCTATTTTCTCTAGATACCAGAGTCACGAAGACACCGAACTGCTGTTGAACTTGCTATGCATTGCAATCTTCACACGCGAAAAAACTTACAGGTGTTGTTGTGCCTTCTCTCTGTTTTCAGCTAACAAGTTGACGTTTCGGTTGTGCTCACACAACACGAGATTAAAGCAACCGCATCAAGCACTCGAGCGATTTTCTTTGTTCTTGAGATGTTTGCATTGTACCCCTTTACACCACGCTGCCAATGTTGTAGACGATGGAACCAAAGGACAACCGTCGTAACTTGAACTAATTTCTTTGCTACAGATTAACCAGTTGGATCCAAGGCCGCCAACCGCCACATCGCACTCCCCATGCACACGCCTTCGTCGCTTTCTTTCTTGTTTTCTTTGTTCTTCAAGGTTGTCACGTGTTGACATATCATCGATGCGAAGGGTATGGAATTCAGCCCTGCCACTCTTCAACACCCGCAGATTTGGTTGAGGAGCACTTTCGCCGTCAGTTTGGCCGCAATCGGAAATCCAGCCTTGTCACCCTCTTCACTCTCTTGGCTCTCTTCAGGCTCTGCCCTGGTTGAAGGGGGCGGCACGACGATACCGAATACGTGAACATTGGAGAAATCTTGCTTGCATTAGGTTTGACAAAGATTGGGCGTCATCCACGGCGCTTTGTCTGTTGCGACAGGCCGCGGCAGCAGTATTGGCTGGGATCGCGGACGGCAAGAGCAACGCTGATGCAAGATTTTTATGCGGGCGCCCCTGCGCCTGCCCCTCCGGCATCGAAATTGGAGCAGGTGAAGGTAGTTGTTCTGAGTGTTTTAGAATAATAGTGCACCTGACGCCTCTGTTGGCAGGATCATTGAGCGCCAAACGTCGTAGTTTCACGAGGGCGACACTCGCTCTGTGCTTGCACAGCTACGTCATGAACATGATGTGAAACGTGTCTCACCAACCCCTTTGCTTTGAAATAATCTGAATGTTGCAGGTTCGCGACAGCAGCATCATCCAGTCATCAGTTCCGCCACCACCTCCCCTGCCGGAGCCTGTGGTAGAGACAGCCTCACACCCCATGATGGCCCCGATGTCACCGTACATCATGAGTGGCGAAGAACCAGTGAGTGGTTTGCCCATACACTTTACTTATGCTTGTGTATGGGGTGTACCGGTCCGCTCCAGGAGCGTGAGCATCTAAGTGGTCGAGCTCATTCAACTAGAAAGCACCTATAATGTGGAGTAGAGGCCAGTGGAACTCGTGAGACCCGTACAACATGCCTACAGTATGCTGAAAACTTGTACTTAACTGTTATTGCTTCGTGGCTGGTGTTTAACAGGTGCTCGGCGAGCTCTTGCTGGATTTTCTTCATCTGTTCGGAGAAGATTTTGACATGGGCCGAGAAGGGTTCAGCGTCAGAGGGGGTGGGTTTCGTTTCTGCGTACATGACCATCCTCCGCATCCGCAAGCATCCGACCCAATCGTAATTGAGGTGAGCGGGGGCATGTAGAGAGGGATACAAATGGTCGATTGCTCCATTGATAACTTGGGGCTTTCTCGGGTGTGTACCAGGCTGTCTCTAGCGGTTGCTCATAACTCTTTTCAGGTGGTTGGGCAGGCTTTCTTTTGCTCCGATACCAGAATCGCTAAACTCATATCCTACGATGTCGCTCTCTCGCACACGATCCCCTCTACTACCCGTCGGATGAATGTATCATGATTTCAACCGAATTCCGACGAAAAATGCAAACCCCACCCTTGTTATCCGTAGTCATGGGTGTTTGTTCTTCTGTCAATCACACTGCACGCAGGACCCCCTGAACTGCATGAACAACGTCGGCAGGAGTTCGTTTGGAATAGGTCAGGTGCAGCGAATTTTCTTTGAAGTTCTGACAACTCTCAAGGCGACCATTGTGCGCGTCAACCAGGATGGGAGAGAGGCGAGTTAGATGCAAGCAAAAACACTTTTTGTTCGTGTTGGCCCTGAGCTTTGCGCATGAACGTGTCTGATGACCCATTTGTTTGGGGCACGTGCCACGAAGCGATGAAGGTGGGGTAGTGACCTCATATCTGGCCTAACCACCGAATATCATCGCGAGGCACGGAGTCCCCAGGGCCATTTTGCCATCTAGAGGTGAGCAGTCATTCCTCAACAACTACTGCTGTAGTTGCGATCCAACACCCGCCAACCCTAAGAAACATCTAAGCAGTATCACTTTCCCTTGAAATGGCGCGGCAATTCTTCGTTCGAAGCTAATTCAGGGCGCGAAAGCGTAGCCGTGTAGAATGAGACGTTTTTGGAGCCTCCTGCTGATTTCGTAGCAATATCTGCGGCCTTTGGAGGAGCACTAGCGGTGACAAAGGTCTTGGCTGGATAGTCTCGTCCGCTAAAACATGGAGAGCGGCTGGAAAAGTTAATTGGTTTTCGATTGTCTAAACATGTGCCGCCTGCAACGCGGGCGACCTTACCCAGTTACATGCTTTGCCCGTCCCAGGGATTACAGATATTAGAAGCATCGAACGGGAGAGTTGTTGGCTTCGAAAAACCGCACGAATAGAGCACGCGCCACAAGATGGGCTGTCTTTAAATTTTTGTTTACCACGGTACACTTTTACACCTCTGCTGCTTACTTTTTCCAACCAGGTTCTAGGGTCCGACACACACAATACCGGAATCCTGCGCCATATTTGCGCTGCAATGGCTGCTACCGCCGACGATTGCCAACATAATGCGCCTGTTGCGGCATAATCGTGTCTCGTGTTCCAATACCCCTTGTAAGTAAAAAATTGTAGAACCAGGAGGAGTTTCGTAACTCTCTCGGGGGAGGGGGATTCCTGGCTCTTCCAGAAGAATACGAAGCACGATTTTCTTCCTTTAGAGGGAGTTTTGAAGGTGTCCACCACTCAACAGAGAATTAACATGACTCTTCCAGACATGTACACCGACCTATATTGTGAGGTTTGTCTGGCATCCGTTCAAACGGCTCTTATTGGTAGGGAAAAGAAATATTTGATAGCTCGAGGCCGTATGCCCCAAAACGTTTACGCCATCTCAATTTCGCCGTCGTAAGGCACGTACAGTAGTCAGCGTCGATGTTGTCATCGACTATGTATGGTGGTCGTCGTAGTCGTTGTTGTTTCGTTGTTGTCTTCACGAGAACAAGTGCGGAGGCTTTTCGATATGCCTGCCACCCCAGTGGTCTCGTATGGTAACCTCGAACACCATTGCGTAGTGGCTAGGTCGGGAGTTCGGTTCTCGGCGACGTGCATTTGTTCGCCATTTCGTGCCTAGAGAGTAGGTGTGGCAAGCGCTTGCTCACGAGTAAACTACAGGGAAGGACGGCTGAGCCTTTTTCGCGTTGATACAAAGTTTCGGACTGAGACTCCAAATTTTCCGGTTTAAGGAAGCAGATTTTGAGATAAGAAAGTTTCCTGGAAACTTCGTGCAGGTGGAATTTTTCAGATTTAAGCGGCTTCATGTGATTGGCTGTGGGTCAAGTCCTCTCAAGAACTTCCCCTGTCCGCAGGTGCTGTTTTTTTTTTCGTGGTGCGCTGCGTGACAGCTAGCTGTGCACCTTGCTTGATGACAAGGGGCTCTCACTGCTGCTGCTGTTGAATGTGCGTGCGTGCGTGCGCGTGTCCGTGTCTGCGTCGCTCCTTCCACCCCAGCACACGAAATCTCACCACACCAGTACGGAGACAGGAAGTGATTACTGTACACTGGCCGACCACAGCCTCTGAACGAAGTGCTATATGTCGCGTTTCAAGCGTTCGGGAGCGAGATGGGGGGGTTGGGACCGGGAAGCACATCCGAGTCAAACGCTCTTCTTTCTAGTGGACACCAGAGAAAATACTCTTGCGCACGGAAGGACGCGCCCGCCTTCACCAGGAGGCCACTACGTGCTCTTCCTCCTCTCTGCTCTTCTTCCTTGCTGGTGGCGATGCTACCACCTCTAGGTTCGTGCGCCCTTCCTCCCCCTTGCCTCAATCTGACGGGTGTGTTGCTGACCTCAAGGCAGCCGGAAACAAACCCAACTTTCTGACCGTGTGCAGTCTCCCTGTTTTTGTGTTGGTGGCGCGCCAACTCCAAGGCCTTTCGCTGGGCGCTGGCCTTCTCTTTGGCCGCGCTGACATGTTCTCAGCAGACTGCTGTTTGTGCGTGCTGTGGTGCGTGTGATGTGTTACTTGGAAAAAGTTGCTAAATTTAAATCGAAAAATCGTGAAATTTTTTCCACATACCAAGCCTCCCTCGGCTCTTGAATCTGTAATTTTTTTCCTTGTTGCGGGTTCTGGCGAGACTGTCAGTCAGGAGCGATCCTCAGAACGAGGGCTTAACTCAAAATATGTTTCGGAATTTATTTGAGTCCGAAACTGTCAAATACATCATAGCAAAACCGAGGGGAGATTAACTGCTGCTGTACTTGACCTCGGATCGGAGCTCTTCAGGAAGATACAGTAGATAAGAGTAAGGACGCCCGTAGGAAGGTTGGAAGTTGGAGCGACTGAGTACAGGAGTAGAAGTAGTGGTCTGGTATTGATGACCCTGTACCGAGTGTGTGTTGGACGGGCGGCGTATGTATTATGTCGTTTTCCACGCGTGGGTACTCAGGCAGGAACCTGAGACGTCGGGGGGCGGATATAGGATTCTAGCGAAGGCAATCCTCTTGGCCTTCTCTGTTGTTGTTGGTGGGACCGCGCAGAGATGTAGGTGCTACGACTGACCGCTGTCGTCATTGTCGGCCCTCCTTTCACAAGAGTCGTGGAGCCTCGGTGGCGAGTGCCACACAGAAAGCACCACATTACGCGCGCAATGCTCGGCGTCTCCGCCTCAAATATTTTGCCTGAACTTCTTTTTTTGAGAAACGTGTCCGTGTCGCAGCACGCGCCCTCCTCTATTTCATTGTCACCTGCGGTGGATGGCCAAATAAAAAAAAAATAAAAACTATTATTATGACCATGTTCCCCTGTTCTTAGAAAATAGACAGTCAACCACCGCGAGACTACCCCGTTCTAGATAATCATACTTTATACGTGTAGTAACCTCATCCTATACAATGTAGCCAACGGCAGCAGTCTATCTGTTGCCATATCCGAACAATACAACAAGGTGCAAGGTTATCCGTAAGATACGAGCGAGGGGCTGTCTCAAGCGGATGTCTACCTTCAAGTACAACGGCATCATAAGGCTTTACAGGCATGTTCTCTGCCTGCCTGTTTAGGGCAAGGCGCGCACATTCACGAGCAGCGCTTGCGCCACACTCTGTCTGGCGTCATGTGTGTGGTGAACGAAGAGGGACTGAAGCTAGGGGTGGCTGCAACCAGTGTTATTTGGTTTATATATTTTTTTTTTTTTTATTGGTCCTTGCTCCGTCAGTACGAGACGCCCACCGCGCGGTTGGTGTCGCAGAAGAGACGATCCGCTAGAAGGTGCACTGCTGAAGGGTAGAGGAGAAGAAACGACGCGAATCGGTCCACAAGGCCCGACGTAACACTGGTCAAGGCGGCTAAACAGGTACGCCGGGCACTCGCAGATGGTATCCTGTTTTCTTTTTGACCCCCCCTCAAAAGCCCCCTGGGCAGCAGGCTGCATGCCACAGCAGGCTGCGTGTTCACAGAGCCGTAGGAGCCTCGTCGTCGCCAACAGGCATAATCGAACCTCGGTATACTGTTGTCACACTCACACTTGAGGTGCTGGTGCAAGTTTTGGGCGTTCGGTAGCTATCTGTGCTTCAAACCGAAGCTACCTCGCAAGAGGGCCTCAGCAGGGCTTCAACACGCGGAGCATCTCGGTGCAGTCGGTGCAGCAGCGGCACCAGGCCCAGGTTTGCCTTACGAGGAGAATCTTGCGGTCTCAGCGGGTGCGTCGTATAGGTCAGGGTCTGTACTTGCTCAGGCTGAAACAGCATCGAGGATTACCAATTGTAGACGCCAATACCGGCGATTCGGCCAGCAGCTATATACCGCCATTTTCAACGGTTTTTTCGGTTTTTCCAGGATGGTCCGGCAGCGCCGCGCCTCGTGTGGCAAAGTGGTGCACGGCAAAGAACCGGCAGCGGCAGGGGAGCTTCGGCGATGCTTCGCATGTGACCGCCCCGGTAGCCGCGACGGGTGCTCGACCAATTGGCAGCACGTGGTGGACTCCGAATACTGGGCGGAGCTGGGCGAGTGGTCTGCAACGGTAGGGGAAGGGTGGACTCATGAGCGCGACCTTGTAGGAGACCCTCTCAAGGCGGGAGAGTGCATCTGTCGCCGCGCCGACTGTGTGGTTAATTTGTACCAAAGGTACAAGGGGAGGCGCCAGAGGGAAGAGAAAGGAGCTTTGCACACCATGGTGATTGGGCAGCGGTCGCCGATGGGCAGGTACCCGTCGACGGGCTCCCAGGTATGACACCGCAGAAACACCACCTTTAGTGCGGCGGTGTAGGTGACTCATGCGTCCTGTCATATGCATCGATCTGGGCGAACTCTAGAACGTTGAAATTGTAGGAAGACGCGACAACGTTGACCCCCGTGAAAACTTTCACCCCGTTCTATTTTTTCTGGTCAAGTTATCCTTTCTACGTTCCCACGTGACTACGTAGATATGTATGTGAGTTTCTGGGATCGCGACCGTCACCATGTGCTGTTGATGGTGTAGTATTCTACCGAGTGGTGGACGTCCCATCTCTCAACCTTGCATCGGTAGCCCTCGCCTTACTCCTTATTTCTCGAGTGGCATTGTTCCCTTTTCCTTTGTTTTGGTTCTCACATAAGAAAATGGTAAGTAAGAGGATGCTGTGGTCGTGCATCGTTGTCTGTCCTGCCCGTGTTGGTCGAAGAGTCTCGTGGCAGGAGAGAGGGAGTCGACCCCACCCCCACAAGTCAACGGCAAAAGATATGTAGAGCGCCCGCGAGGAGGGTGGAAACAAACATATTTATGCTGCCAGCATGCCAGCATACTCCCTCTGCCAGGTAACACCTAACAAAATGAAGAAATATTAAGTACGAACGATTTTGCTTTCGCAATTTTCAGGTGCGAGCTCTTCTGGAACACATGGATCTGCAAGGCAGCGTACTGGATTGTTGTGGCTCGGCCCAAGACGCAGTGAAGACGGTCCTGAGTTCACACGGTCTCCGTGTCGCCACGAACGACTTGAATGGGTGGTATGTGTGTTGTGTGTCTCAGACCGACTTCGATGTCACCAAGCACTGCGGTTTTTTTCAGTGTTTGATTTCGAGATTTTGGCGTAAAGTTCGTATGCATAGGCTATGCTCAAACACACACGTAGCAATGTTTACCTGGCCGCGAATCAAATGGCGAATGTAATGCTTCACCACATGCATTTTTGCCGGCGCTCGTTTTTTTTTTTGCCCCCCTCCCCTTAGCTTGGTGGCCGATACCCACCTGGACGCCGCCACAGACGCTTTTGTCGAGGCGTACGTCGAGGACACGCGGCGTCCGGACTGGGTCGTGACGAGCCCACCCTACAAGAACGCCACCACCATTTTGAAACAGGCGATGCGGGTCGGTCGTATGGGAGTGGCCTTCAAGCTGAGGTTGACGTTTCTGGAGCCCACCAAAACCAGAGGGCGGTGGCTAAAGGAAAACGCGCCTGACCGGATAGTGGTGCTCCCGCGCGCTACGTACCGCGGAAGAGCGTGTAGCTCTACTGAGGCATGGTTTATATGGGAGACGGGGCGGGGGGGGGTAGGAGGCCGCGGGCCTGCTGTTTGCTTCTCGTTGCCTGACGGAGCTCTCTAGAGTAGACGTGCTTGTGTGAAGTTGCATAGCACTATGGTATTATTGGCATAGCAGTATATGTATGCTGGGTAAGTTGAATGGAAGTCTGCATGTTTGCTTCCCCGGGGCTACTACCGACGCCCCGCCTGTCCGCCCTGACGTGTTGGTGGTCCCTGTTGTTTTTTGGGGGGGGAAAGACGTCCGACGTTTGAAATAATTTTGGGCTGGAGAACCATGGCACAGCAGCTGACCCTGTTTTTCCTTGTGTACCTGCATGCACATGATGGATGGCCATGCCTATGTGTGCGCTATACGTGTGCGACTCGTGGCCCACAAGGCAGACATTGTTCTGGAAATGCACCGCAAATGAACTACTATGTTTGCTACATCGGGTTAAAATTTGCCCATGGAGCGTTGAAAAAAAAAAGGTCGCAGCCCACCCGCCGTTGTATTGTAACGTACCATCTTTAGTTCTCTGCCAAAAAAAACTGTACTGCTGCTGTATACCCCCCCCCCAACAAAAAAAAAACGCGTGCACATGTCTTGAACCTGGTACCACACCCTAGAAAAAAAAAGACTCGGTATGCACCAAAGTGTTGACCTCGAGTGTACGAAACACGCACGCATACATGTGCGCCAAGAAAAAAAAAATACGTGCACTGTGTGTTGAACACACGCACGCATAGAAGTGCGCCCAAAAAAATCCGCGTGCACATGTCTTGAACCTGGCACCACTCCTAACAAAAAAAATGACTCAGGATGCACCAAAGTGTTGACCTCGAGTGTACGACACACGCACGCATACATGTGCGCCCAACAAAAAAGACGTGCACTGTGTTGAACCTGGCACCACACACAACAAAAAAAAAGACACACACACCAAAGTGTTGACTTCGACTACACAAACCCATGTGTGCCCAAAAAAAAAACTGGACTGTTTTGAACCTGGCACCACACACAAAAAAAAAAAGACGCAGACACCGAAGTGTAGACTTCGACTGTACCACACACACGCAATTGTGCTGCGTAGCAAACCCACATGGCCGAAAACCACTTGTGGCAATTCTCATTTCTACGAGGAGAACACAACAGCCGAATGCAGCTGCACTCCGTTACGGTAGATCTTCGTGGGTCACGCAATGGGTTCCACCATTCACCTGCGAGAATAATATCGGACCGAGACACCGAAAAGTCGGGAAGGGGAATCTTCGCGTAAGCTGTTTTGCGGAAAAAACGCCTAACGAAACCCGGGCTAATGCCATGGTATCCCTGACAATGCTGGGGGGGACGCATAAGGCGCCAAAAAAAATGCGGGCTACCCGTTGTATTTTCGAAGTGTTGTTGGTGCAATATACCGTTTTTTGTTGTTGGAGGGGAGGCATATGATGAACCGGGCTGTGTTTTCTGCGCATGGCACACAGAAAGCCTCTCCTACGATATGTGCTAAATTTAATTGTCGCAAGGCACAAGCCGTTAAACTAACGGCGTTATATTGACGGTCGGATACCAACGCACATAACTAAGGCTCGTCGTCCACCAGCAAGTCTCCGTCGAGGTCGATCCCGATATCATCCATACCGTCAAGCGAATCGTCGTCTCCTTCGCTGTCCTGCGAGCCTTCCTCCCAAACGTCGTCGTAGTTATCTAGGAAATCGATCAATGCGCCAGGAGAAGTTGCTCGGTAGTACCTCGTATCATTTTTCGGGAATACATTTTACCAAGTAGGCGATGACGTCTCTCCCGTCCCCACTATACTACTGTGTTGTCTTGGAAAGGATGATCAGTCAGGTAAATTCGGCGGGATTCAGCTGCTCAAACATGCAAAGTACAAGTATGAAGAAGAAACCTTACGACAGTGTTGTGGTATGCGGGTGCTTGGGTGGCCCCTGAGGGGTAGCCAACATCAACAAAGTAGAATGTATATCTCGGCGCCGTCAACAATGCACAAGCGCAGCCGCTCACCCAAGCGACGCTGTGACTCCGATCCACCCTCCTCGCCGGGATTCCCAACATCTCCCCCTTCTTCCTCGGGTGTTTCCTCATCATCGTTTCCCACTGCTCCCGCGGGTGGGGTCGGACCCCCTGACTCCGACCCATCTTCCTCGCTGGGAAGCCTAACCTCCGCCCCCTCCTCATCGTGTGTTTCCCCCTCATCCCGTCCCACTGCTCCTGCCTGTCGGGCCGCCTCAGCGCGAGCTCCCACGTCTGACGTAAGTCCTCCCTGGGGATTCTCTCCCCCCCCCCCCCCTTGTGCGGGCGGCTCCCACCCTCCGTCAGCTGCATCGTCCTGATTCCGCGCTCCATGCCCCGTAGCCCCGTCTCCCGCCGGAGTCCGCGCACCCCCCAAAGCATCCCTAAGGAAGGCGTCGTATGCCAAACCTGCGCATAGATTTCGATGTACCGGTTGGTTGCACTACACGGTAGTGTAAAGACTCGTTAACATGATACCTTCCCTCCACCAAAAGAAAGGTATTTCAGTTATTATGAGTGGAATGAGGTACCGTGGAAAGCACTGGGCCATATCAGCCGCATTTTTCACTGCCGACTATCACAATAAAGCGTCGACGTATGTATGCTTATCCTGCGGAACTCTTCTTCTCGCAGAGAGGCGGACAAGGAGCGCGTTCATGATGTGTCATGAGCACAGCGTGATGTGCGGCGAGACTGCCGTGACTGTCTAGCTGCGGCGCGTTTTTCAAGGTCACTTCTAGTCACTTCGGCGATGTCCTCACCATTAGCCTTGCAGAACAGGCTACGCCGAAAACCTTGGCAATGTCAGTAGCCACGTACCTGATCCACCCAGCCGTGGTGCTCTTGCCTAGGATTATCCCCTCCTAGATAAGCTTTCCACCTCTCCGTCAGGCCTCTCGCCAGTTGGATACTGACGCCCAGTGATTAAGGCTTCGGGAGGAGGCGTGTTTTGTGTATAAGTTCTGCGCGCCAGCGGCGCATAAAAAAAAAATTTCCTAAACCAAATAACACTGCAACGGTGCAACAAGGCTGCAAGGGGGGTCGGCGCACCGGGCGGCTGGGGGGGGGTCGGGGGGGGTGCACGGGTGCGAGCACCAGCAGACTAGCAGACTTGACTTGCTGTTGTTTCATACCCTGCCTGCCAACCATGAGGGCTTCATACGGTGGCTGTACGGCGGTGCTCTCAGTGCTGCTGGTGGTTTGCTGCGTGGAGGCCTTCATTTTCAGTTCTTCACCCAGACATGCTCGCTCTCCTCAACATGGACGGCATCGAACCTGCGCGCTACGGCTCAGTGCTGCAAACGACAAGTTTCCCTTGCAGAACGACCTTTTAGTGCGTGCGGCCAGGGGAGAAAAGGTGGAGCGTACTCCGGTGTGGTTGTTCCGACAAGCTGGAAGGTAGGCACCTATGCATACGTGCGACCCAATAATGATTGTGGTATGTGTTGGTATGAATAGAGTGAAAGGAACATGAAAAACATGAGCGCATGCGCGCCACTTGCCCACCGGTACACATTCCGCCGCATTGTTGCGAGAGCTGTAGCACACATGTTACATGTCCTGCTGTAGATGCAACAGGTGGTTGTGCTCTGCTGCTTGTACCGCTATCATTGCGCTTTGGATGGAGGGTTACCGGGCTCTGTGTCGCCTTCGCTTATCCAGTTTATCTTTACGCTGCTGTTGGATCATTTTCTACTCTCAACTGCACACAAGTGTACACCGATACATAGACCGACACACCGACACACCGACGCGAATCATGGCGGCGCTGAAAATGGTTGCCTCCGCACAGACCCAGAGACGGCAACTTTCCCGGTGAACACTCACTCTAACATTTTCAGCGTGCAAAACTAGTGCCCGTGACACTTTCCGCCATCGCTCGACAATTGTATTTCTCCCCTGTATCGTCCGTTTCCTCCGCGGCGGCTGTAAACACGAAAAATGAACAGGCATCTACCCGAATATAGCGCCTACAAGACCGAGAAGGGAAAGAACTTCCTGGAGTTGCTGCAGGTGATTAAGGCCAGCAGCTTCCAGTGTAAACAAAATCGTGTCTGGTTTCAAATGCCACACGCATCTAAAGTTTCCAGGATGCCAGGAGCCCGTATGCAACTGTGACGATCAGACGCGTTTTTGGTGGGAAGTGGGAGATCCGATCGGTTCATAACCGTTTGTTCTTTGTCTGGAAGGAGACACAAATTCATATCGGTTTACTCTTTCTCGTTTGTGTGCCGTGTGCTGCACATGTTTCAGGACCCAGATGACGTGGCGGAGGTGACTATGCAGCCTATTCGGAGATACAACCTGGACGCCGCCATCTTGTTCTCCGACATCCTCGTGGTGCCACAGGTGTGAGATTGATTGCAACTGCTTGTAAGGGAGTGCTCCGATGTGGCTCTGTGTTTGATGATATTCGCCGCTTGAGGACCCACGCCCAGTCGTGGGGAGTATGCCGCTGTACATGCACACATCTGTCGAGTTGCTCTATCTTCGGTCGCACCCGACATGAACACCTGTTCGTTCAACACATTCGTTCGAATGTCTGCCCTACCCTCAGGCATTGGGAATCGATGTGGAAATGCCGGGTGGCGTAGGAATCCTGGTGCCTCATCCCCTCAAAGACCCCGCCGATTTTGAGGCCCGCATCCCGAAGGAGGTGGACGTGAAGGATAAGCTGTCCCACGTGATTCAGGCGGTCACGCGCATTAAGGAGGTGAATAAATCAAATGGTTTGGACCAAGCTTGCGCTAGTGCTCCTTCCACGATAGCCGACTCGTGTACCATGAAGAAGCCTGTGTGTGTACGTCCCGCAGTAGCTGACATCGTCAGTCTTGATCGCAACACTCGAGGTTCCTTGACTGTTTGTATAAGGGTTCGGGTTGCGAAGCTACTCGTCGCTTCATAACGGATATGCGCCGCCAACGTGAGACACGCCGTTGTGCTGGAAGTTAGGAGCTGAAGGGAAAGGTGCCATTGATCGGCTTCAGCGCAGCACCGTGGACGCTCATGTTCTACATGGTGGGCGGCAGCAGCAAGAAGAACACCGACTCGGGTGAGAGGAACAAAAAGTCGGTAGGCGAAGTAGATCGAGGAATGCGATGCATTCACTGCGACGGTTTCCCCTCTGTCAGCTGTCTGTGTTCTGCCGCGCTGTTTCGAGTTGAAGTATAAGTATGAGCCCATTCGTCGTCCGAGGCACGCGCTGGTTCTTGATTCCACTCGTCCAGCAGCAGCAGCAGCAGCAGCAGCAGCGGCAGCGCTGCGGCATCCGACTGTGCGTTCAACCGCGCAGTAGCGGGGTGTGCCACTACTCAATGTAATGCATTCTTGCGATGTTGACTTCACTCACTGTGCATTCATAGGGGAGAGGTGGCTCCAAGACCATCCTGAGGCTTCAGCAAAGATGATGGACCTGCTCACTGGTGTAGTCATCGACTATATGGCAGCGCAGGTGCGTGCGGTAAACCTTGTAGGTGTTGCATTGTGACATGTGTCTGGCAAGCGGTTGAGTAGCGCGGGCTGTTGTTAGCCATGAACCAGGACGAATCCCACCACGTAGTTTGAAGTATACGCGCGGGAAGAGAAAACACCCCTCGTTTCCCACCACTCTCGACAACTCTAGCTAGCCCCACACTCTTGGTCGATTTTTTTGGTGTATGGCCCAGGTGGAGGCTGGGGCTGACATCCTGCAGGTGTTCGAAGCCATGGGTGGGTTCATTAGCGAGGACCACTTCTACGATCGAGCCATGCCGTACCTGACCAGGTAATTTATGAGCAGACGTCGCAGCGGCCCTGCATCTGGCAATTTTCGTCAAGTCGTCTCGTCGGCCGCTCGAACGCAATCGGCCTTGTCCTCCGCCTGCTTCCAGGCAACTGGTCGTTGGTTGTTCACGGTGATGATTCTGACATGTGTGATTAAGGAGCGGTATTGGTCAATCGATGAATTGGTGTCCCTTGCCTCTTTTCAATAGTTGGCTATCAAGAATCAAGATCCGCTCTATGTCTTGCGTACGAACCAAGCACCCGGCGTCCCTGTAAATTGGATATCACTCGCCTCAATATCAAACCCGGTTGTTGTTTTCTCTGATCACCGCGTGTTCTTTGGATCAGGATTGCATCTGAGCTGAAGGAGCGGTGCCCGGGAGTGCCGTTGATGGTTTTCGCGAGGGGTGCCACATACGCTAACGTCGCTTTGCAGGTGACAACGGAATGTTCGTATTGAACCTTGGTCAGCTTTATTAAGTGCTAGACCCAGTGCAAGACCGATTGGTGTTTTGTCTTGTCACCACGATGACGGAAATACCGTAAAGAGGCACGCCAACAGCGTGCCATTTGGACTACGATATCATGTGGTGCATTGTTTATAGCACTATGGCCACTCCGTTGTGTTTGTAGGCAGCCGGGTACGACGTGGTGACGATGGACACTGAGACGGGGCGAAAAGCTACTCGTGATGCCCTGGAAGAGGCAGCGAGGGAGATTGGAAGGGAACCAGCCGTGGTACAGGGCAACTTCGACCCGCGGCTGCTGACTGATGAAAGCTCAATGAGCGAAATCAACGTGAGTGTCTGTTGCTGGTAATTACCCATAGAAGAACCTGTTTTGCCGAAATCCACCGAAAATCATGTTTTTCTGATCCCGAGTGTCGCTCGCTAAACCTAACCGGCACGACTGAATACTCTTGACGTGCATTGCAACAACCCACAACCCGCCTGTCTTGATGGCTGCATGATTTCAATACAGGTTCGCGAGGCGACGGAAACAATGATGAGAGAGCTGGGCCCCCAGAAGCTCATCGCGAACCTGGGCGAGGGTCTAATGGGGAAGGAGGACCCCAAGAGCGTGGCCGCCTTTGTAGACGCCATCCACGATTACTCGGAACAACTGATCCGGACAGGAGCCGCGGCGGAGACAGCCACAGCGCATTAGTCCCTTGGGATCAATAGGGTTTAGCTTTTGGCTGCGTTACGGCTAAATATTGCGTAGTCTTTGGTCTTGGAGCTATTTTAGTGCTGTTGCTGACGTCCACTAATCGTAGGCAGAAGTCTGATCGTTGCATTTGAGCGAGTAATGTTCTTGTTCACCTGTCTGCCCGATTTCAAATCAAGCGACACTGGTGCAATCACGCAACATTTTAGTGGTGTCCCTCGTTTGCTTAATACACTACGAAGGCGACGGCGATCGGAGAATAGGAGCGTTCGTCGCATGTTCGTTAGTTTAGCAGAAAGTACAGCAGTCACTTTATCCTGGCAGCACAAAAAAACGTGGCAGAGCACGTTTGACATAAACAAAAGAACCCATACAAACGTGTTTTATACAGGTGCTTGAAACGTGCAGGAAGCACGTTCATATGTACAAGACGGCAAAATGCAGAACGCAGCCCCCGAAACTTGGTATCCGCCTGGATCCATCTAGACTACAGCACTTGAAGCTTTGCGCTTGCGATCCGCAAGGAGATGCCGGCGTTCGATCATCTCTTTTCAGCAGCGCTTAGTTCGAATCCCGTGGATGTCAACGATCGATCCAAATCCAACATCAAGCGCCCTATCGGGCGACGTTCCCGCATATTTTTCGCCAAGAGTTCCATGGCTGTGCGCTCCGCCTTGAAGATTTTCAAGTTTTCGAGAAACGCCCATTTCTCCGTCCTCCTCAAGTCGTCTTGCGACATGTAGGGCCACAGGCCCTTAAATCTCCGGCGCATGTTGAAATAGTCGGCGCCACCGCCCTGTCCACAGACCATGCAGCATAAAGGACAGAACATTGACGTGAACATGCAGAGTACCAAACTTCGTGCTGTCGAGAGGCTGCCAAGACCACCTGGACGTTCCAACATAGCGCCAACATACCGGTGTGTTTCATACAAAAGTATGGAATCGGTCCATCACCAACAGACGTGGGAGGTCAACACAAAGGCTAGCAACTTCCACCACATCAAAGCCGTTCGCCATCATCTCTCCAGCGATCCTTAAAAGAGTATGGAATCGGTCCATCACCAACAAACGTGGGAGATCAACACAAAGGCTAGCAACTTCTCACCACATCAAAGCCGTTCGCCATCATCTCTCCAGCGATCCCGCCCATCGAAGTTAATGCCATGCGATTTGACATCGCGTGTCGCCCCTCTGTATCAAACGGTGCTACTCGATCCTTGTGAGGAATCTCTGACGACGAAAAATCCAGCTCCACCAAGTTCTGTAATCGCGCTGGGTCTTCCCACGGGTACGTCATTCGCGCTTCGAGTCTTGGTTCCGGCTCCGACGCTGGCCCCGTGAGGAGCTCTTCCGGAAGCCATATTCTGGCTGTACTCAACTCAGCGTTGATAATGTTACAGCTAGGACCACATCCAACCTCGTCTCCGTGCTGTAGTGAGCCCAGCCCTCCTGTGGCAACGCGCGTTGAAGTGAATGAGATCGATACACACTACAACCAAGGTAAGGGCCGGCATGAGGAAAGCATCTTCTTGTCGAACACCGAATGCCACTGTTGGCCTCAGGCAGGAGGCTACAGGTAACACCCGGAGCTCGCAGAGCGTGCAGCGTGCACCCACACAAGGAATGCGGAAGCATTGTTGCCGTCAGCCGATCCACTGAGGTCCAAATGTAGGAGTGTAGCTGTGGGGGTACAACACGGCACGAGCAGTACGATGCCCAGAAGGACCACATGAAACATCTCGTGTTCCTACCCCCAAGACCATTCACCTGCCCTGCTCAACGCACGAACCACCAAGGAGACAGGACCAACAAGCACATCATGCAGATGCTAGCTCACCAAGCGTGTACGTAGCCACAGGGAGACCCGTGAGATACGCAGCGGCGACGTGGCCAGCTTCGTGTGCAGAGGTCAACTGCGTCAGCATCGGCTGAACCCGAATAATCGCCTCGCTGTACAGAGCCGAGTGAAGGACCTCCTGAAGAGAAACGAGCATGAACATATACCGACATGCACACCCAAAACAGGGGAGGGACAAACGCCGCGTCAGGTAGGGCCTTGCCCACAAATTCCAAGTGGACTACCAGCTGCACAACTCACACGGATTGCCAAGAGGATGCAAAGGCATCGACCACACGACGCAAACCTCGTCCAAATGATGCACGCAGTGCACCATGGTACCGGTGACGGCCACAGATAGGGTGGACTCTAGTAGAAGAGGTGCGGTTTTAGATGCTTCGTTTCGCCATGGGTGGGGTCTCTCTCTCCATCATGCCATCATGGCTCGAGGTACTTGGCGACACCGGCCGAGGCCTTCTTTCCACCCGCCCTTAAAGTTGCTCACCCTCTCGAAGGCCACGAAGGTCAGCAGGAGCATCCCATTCCAAGCCACCTGCCCGTCACCTCCCGAAATAACATAGGACATCGTGGAAACTAAAAACGCCCCGATGAGGGTGTAGTAGGATAAGCTCTGCGACAACGAGAGAAACATGAATTCACGTCGGGGGGGACGGGGGGCACAAACAAAACGTGGAGGGTATGTGAGACATACTTTCCAGCGCAGGACTGTTGATGCCTCTGGGTAAAACAAACGTTCAAGGGTACGACTGACTGCATCCGCACGAAAGACACTGGGCGAAACTACTGTAAGATAGCATCTGTGCATACTGCATACATGTAAGGACGATACTTCCACACAGAGTTAATCTCTCACGACCAATCAACAACAAAACAAAAACTCACCCTCGCATCAGTTTCGAACTGGGCGGCCTTGAATATCGGTGAGTCTTCCATACCCTCAACGGGCTCAGGGACGGTATCCGTGGGTGCCAACTCGGTATCAGGAAGCTTTACCATGCCGAACCTGAATAGATGCCACACGCAGTGGAATTGAGGAGGCAATTCAGTCATGATGGAGATTGAGACAGCAGAGACGATTGGGTTTGGTTTGCAAACCAAACTCTCCCCTGTGGGATGAAGTTTAAGGTACTTGCATAGGGTCCGTGTGGCAGGCACATTCATGTCCAGCTGTAGAAGACAGAGGTGAGGAACTACCTCTGGTCTTTTACCCTTTGAAGTAATACGAATGTCTGAACAAATACATGTATACCCCAGAACGTCGTGATTCAACTCAGCGGGTAGCGGAGTCTAGCAACGACGTGCACCTGTCAAGATTGGACAAGAGCATGGATTTCGCATATGTGTTTCAAGGGTACGCCTAGGACTACTCAGTCTACAGTAGGGTACGAGTCACACCTGGTGAAAACGCCGAACCGCCGGAGCGCCTCGTATACGGCAAGGATAGCCAAAGCTCCGATCGCGGGACGAATCGGGGCGGGCAGCCACCACACCGTGTCCAGGTATCCCAGCGCCAGGGTCGCACCCGCTCCTTTGTGCTGCTTCTCGCAACGGTCCAATATCCTCTTGATGGCTTCGGCGTTTTCTTCGTCTGGGGCCGGGCTGAGGACAGCGTCCATCAATTGGCCCACGTGGGCTTGTACTGCCTGAGAGAGCGGATGGGCGGCGGCAAGAATTAGGAAGAGGGGCGGGCGTGATTATCGTTGACGTTGCAAGTAAACTGAATCATCGATGGTCATCTTGCGTTGCCTCAACGGAATTTGCGTTTCGGTGACGTTGTGAGTGAGTGAGTGTGAGTTGCGTGTACGAGTACACCAGGGGGTGTGAGACGATTGACGGGCGGGTGGTAGGGCAAGCTCGGGGTCTTGCGTATTCCGCCAATTTTAGAACTACCCACAGAGAATATGCTTAGTAGCTGTCAACGCCCACAACTGCCAAAACTGCTACACAAGGGGTCTAAATTCTCGGACACTACACGTACACGTGACCACTCACGTCTTTCTACATGTCGGCTGAGGCGCTCTCTTCGGGCTATTGCTACTGTACTGTACCTTTCCCCAAACATGTGGGTATTTCGTTGACTAGCGGGGCACGCCTCAAAGCGCAACGTACACGTGTCTGTCACGTCATACTTGTGTACGCGGAAGATTCAGAAAACTCCCATGCAGAAGTAGTACGTTTCACCCCCCTCGTACAGCTACAATAAGACACCGTGCTCGTAGCTGACCTTGTTAAGAGCGCGTTTCCTTGTGGAGGTGGAGCTCTCCCCGGCAGGGTTCAAGTACTGAGCTGCCCCTGCAGCTCCAGACTTAACGGCCAGCACAACCATCTGCCGGTAAACGGGGTTAACCCTTCCGTCTCCGCCCATCGCTTTTTTCACCGCCTAAAGAGTAAGAGACAAAAACGATGCAAAGAACACCTAAAGCGAGGGACGAAACTTACACGAGACCACCGTGTCACGGAAACGCAGCGATAACAGCCGCACTGCTGTACGTTTGCATCAACTAACACAGTCCAACTGGTTTGCTTCTTTCTTTCCAACAGAGATCTAGGAGAACTCTACGCTGCACTCTCTTCTATCAATCCAAACACGAATGCACTTTTTGGCATTTTCCAGCCGTTTGATGCAGCCTACCGCCTACCCTCTGTTACTGCATTGCGTCCGGTTTCAGTGCTGGCCGCCCTATCGAAGGCGAACGTACAGTAGCGCTGCCGGCTTGGTGCCATACATATACATTCTATCCGCAATTTACCTCAATTGGATCGAAGGAGCTAGCCATCCTGAGCTGCGTAGAGGACATGGCATGGCGCCTGCTGGAGGCGGGTGTGCCCTTGCTTGAGCTGGGAAACAACGTGACCTTGGAAGAGGTGAAAGCGTACCCAAACCCTACGTGCGTGTGTTAGCAGCCACGACATGAGAACGATGTACATGTTGGCCAGCGGGTAGAGATGCAGAGTCGAAGGTTTTGGGTGAAAGTTGATTCATTGCATATTGACACCGTTTGATAAAGATTTACCTTCTCGTGTTACCCAGCAACAGCGGTGTTTTTACCGCAACTATGCATAATGCTGTATCACAACTGTGTTGGCTTGCATAGCACAAGGCCTTGACTGCGGTCACTTGAGAGAAAAATTAATCACCAGTAGCGCTCAGCCTCACCCCCCCCCCCCC